GGGCGGGGGGTATCCACGGAGTAAATGACATCACTGAGGCGAGGCAAATTCAGAGTCGCCATCAGTACCAAGTGTGAAGGCTAATACCGGCTAATACTCCCCAGTGTTGCGGGTTTGAATGCCCGAGGGGCCATGGCGCCTTAAGGGTGGATCGGGTAGGCAAACCCGCAACACTGCGGTGTATTGCCTTTCCAGACGGTACAAATGACCAGCTGCTTGAGTTTCCTAAGCAATAAAGAGTTTTATCGGGGCTTTATTTCGCCAAAGTCGAAAATGAGCACAGTTGTAAGTAAATTGACAAGAACCATACAACATATTATCATCATATGCTGACATGGAACCTCTCTACTCCACCATAAAAAAGCACGGATTCTGCGAACGACCAGCAGGCAAGGCAAGCCCGAGTCGCCGAACAAATTTACACCCCGCAAAATGATAATCTGTAACAACCATAACAAAGTTCAAGCCGAGCAAGCGCGACCATAATACGTTGATAAAAGCATTGTGCTGCACTGTCGTAGTTTAGGTCGGTTTAGGTGTCCGATTCACAGATTTTCATTTTCCCGAGTGTACGTACATCTTCTGTTATGGTCGGGGTGGGGCTGAGCGCTATGGTGATGCGCCTCCAGGTCACCGGCGGGGGTCCGCCTCGTGGTCCGCGCTCTGGGCGCTCACGTGATCCGCAGCGAGTACTTGTGGAGCAGCACCTGGCGCAGGCTCTTCCGGAGCGTGGGCGGCATCCGCTGCAGCGCCCAGTTCAGGTCGTCGCCGGCCACCGACACGGTCTTGTCGGCCTGCTGCTGGTCGTCGCCGTGGTCCGCCTCCAACTCCAGGAGGGCGTCAGGGGGCGCACCCACCCAGTCGATCCGGACGCCGTCCTCGTCCTCGGCGGCCTTCGCGTCGTCGTCCATCCAGAACTCGAGGTCATTGTCGGCGTCCTCCTGGACACTCGTCCCCTGGACCTGAAGGGTACAATACACAAAAAGACGAAGTGATCGAGCAACAGGCCCGGGGATGACCCTGTCCTCTGGAAGCCTAGGTACCTCACCAGAGGACTCATGAAAAGCAGGGGTCCGTAACTTAACATATAAGGACCTCATAACGTTTTGTTAATCGTTAGTGTTGTACCCGATAACTGATAACGCCTACTATGGCACCGAACAGATACGTAAATAACTTATAACTTTTGTTTTAAAAAATAACCGTTATGGATTTATCAAATATCACTTTGATAAGTGTTTAAGTGTTATGTTCTATTTCATGGCTGTGCGATAGAAGTCACTAAATAAAGGGAAGCCGCTTTTAACGTTAAATGAGTAGGTTACATATATAACGTTAAGGGAATAACTAAATTCTTATTGGTTACGTATCTAACTTAACTTAAAGTTTTATTTGCGACTTTGTTAAATTATTTAACAAACCGATCATGTTCGTTATGATAAGTTACGGACCCCTGATGAAAAGTAATAGTCTCCGATTTTTTTCCGCCCGGTGTTTTTTTTTTTTTTTTTTTTTTTGTAGGGTGACCGTATACACGATTGCGAAGAAAATTCGATACCCGTCAATAGGAACTATCAATTTCCTCAAGAAATTTATAAAAATCGATCCCCAAAATCCAAAAACGATTTCCAGTTTGTATTCGGCCCCAAATCGACCCTGTTTGTAGCTACACGCAGAGACGCTGAATCTGTCAAGAATCTCTTAATTGCCTTTATGAATCTTATACGGGGGATCGTTCTTGTATTTTTCAAATTCGATTTTTAGTAATTTCTTTATGAAAGTAATTCTTCCGGTAGATCCAGATATTAAATAGTGCATGAACTTAGCACACAATACCTGCATGGAAGATATACAGTAAATAAGAAACTCATGGGTAGTATTTAGTAAATCTAACGCACTCAAATGGGGTATTCCGTACATACGTGTCGCGCGCGCGAACAAACGCACACTGTTAAAACCGAAGGGGGGTTCACTCCAAGAAACGTGTAAGTACTGACTACTCCGTATTACACTTACACTATATTACGCGGTATTACGCGGTATTACAAGCAACAATTAACAATTTTTAAGGTAATGCCGTTCAATACTCGGCGTAGGTGTTCTGGGTAAAAACAAGAGTGACACATGCCCGAGCACATGCCCCTCTTCCCACATTTGATGATCTCCTATCCGAAAAGCCGGCACTTTCTTGGCAGAATGCACTCCTTGCCTGATAACGGTCCAATTTCTTTTACGTAGCAGGGCAGGGAGAGTACATCGCAAACGAATTCAGCCATGGAGTGCATCGAAGAGTCGGTTCGGTTTTCAAAGTCGTTCCCACTAACCGTCATCATCACCGTCAGCGGCAGCAGAGCCAGCAGCTGCAGCAGGAGCCCCGGGCGGTCCATGGGAGCCCGCGCCCGCGCCGCGGCCGGCGTCGACCTGCTCCACTAGCAGAACACAATCGGGGCGGGGGGCCCCTCTGGGGCCGCGGGGCAGCAGCGGCGGCCGGTACGGCGGCGTGCACGCCGGCCAGGTTCATCGCTCTGTGCGGCTAAGAGGAAGAAGGAGAAAGCGAAGAGAACCGTGATCGGGAAGTCGACGCTCTGCGCCCAGGTTCGGTGGCTGCTGGTGTTGCTGCTCACCATGCCGGGGCCCCGCTGATCGGCTCGGCGGCTAGCAGACGACGGGCTGGTGTTGCCCGGCTGGGCCGCTATCACGTGGCCGCGGCCGCGGCGGCCATGCGAGGCGCGGCACGGCGGGCCCCGGACGGCGGCGGGCGCCTGTTGCGGCCGCTGCTGCCGCTCGACGTGGAGAGCCTCTGCGTGCTCGTGCTGCGCGCGCCCCTGGCCGCCGGCATGGCGCACCCCGTGTTCTCCGCCCTGGCCGCCGCCCTGCCGGTAAGCGCTGCGTAACCCCGTCACGTCAGCGACGCGCCGCGTCGTTTGTTGTGTTTGTCGCTCCAGAGCCGTTACTTCCGCTGTTTTGCTTGCGTTTGCCTCCCTCGCGCGCGACCCATCTCCCCCCAGCGTGCCGCAGACCGGCGGGAGAGCGAGCGAGACGGAGAGAGCAGTCTGTCTCCCTCGCACGCAGTCGCACTGCACCGCCCCGCTGCACCCAGGTGCTCCTGCTGACGGCGCTCGCAGAGGCCCGCACGTGGGATGGCCCGGGCGGCCACCCCCCGCCACCCCCACCGCCGCCACCACCACCGCCGCCGCCGCCCCCGGGGCCGCCGTCGCCAGAGGACGACGATGACGTCCCCGGGCCCCGGGCCTACCGGGACCGCGAACCCTCCGACCGCATCCTGGTCGCCTCGCGCGACGGCCGGCTCTCGCTGTTCGAGCGCGTCGAGGACGTGCAGTCCGTGCTGCCGTACGAGAGGGGAGCCCCCGGCGGCGCCTCGGGGAGGGGCCTCTTCGACAGGGCCCCGGGGGATTGGGACTCCCAGTCTTCTTTCCACGACAGACCCCATGAAAGGTCGTATGACCGGTCGTACGACAGACCCTACGACAGGCCTTATGGCCGATCCTACGACAGAGACAGGTCGTTCGACAGGACTTATGACAGACCCTACGACAGGGAAAGGTCCTTCGACAGACCCTTCGACCGTGACAGGTACTACGACAGATCCTATGACCGGCCCTCTGCGAGGTCCTACGACAGGCCCGTCGACAGGGTGTTTGATCGTTCTCTTGAACGACCTTTCAGAGGGACGTCCGGTGATCGTGTTTATGCACCAGTACCGCTTTAAAATGGAGATTATTCGCAGTAAAATTAAACAAAAACAAAGAACTAAAGCTTCTGAACAGTGAACTCAACTAACTCCTCACTGTACTCTTTGCTTTTGTGCCGTTTTCCTTCATTATCGATTGCACTAAAGAATGAACTGTTTTGGGATTAGTGAAAACAGGCGAGAGAAACTTCAGCTTCATAACAAAATTGTAATTGCGGATTACTTATATTACAGTAGCTAGGAACAATCTTTTGGAAGGGAACTACATTTCTAAAGATTACACATTGACTTTTCCAAAACGCTAGGAAATATTTGAAAAAGTTTAAGAATTCGTAAAACTAATCTATATAAGCAGCACTAGACAAACAACACAAAAACATTATAGAATGAAGTATGCATAGTTTGATGATAGTACTCACAAATTTTGATCTGTTGGGAACTTTTTCGGTTTGACTGGCGTCAATATATGATGTCAACACTGGACTAGAATTTTATATCGCAGGAAGAAACATTTTAAAACGTCTTGTAAGGCGTGGAATTATTATTATTATGACCAATTTATACACAATCTTGGTTATCATGTTAAATGTACTTGCTGAACAATTTTTTTTAAAGTTTCCACAACCGACAGGGATTTTTTTTTCATAAGCTAGGTTTAATACAGAAAGATATACCTCAGTCTAGTCATCAGTCATTACCTACATAAAATACACCGACAAGCGAGATATAAGTGGCAAACGTTGAGATAACGGAGATTATTAACATGTGCATTGAAACATTTATAGCAAACATTGACCAAATTATAAGTGCTTTCCCTTATTTTGAATTCCACCAATAAATCACAGCATACACTATAATTTTATAAATGGTGCCGATAGCAATCCGAGAAAGAAAATATAGTAGGATACGTCGGAACACTTTAAAATATTTTGCCTTTTAGTCATCACGTGTAACTCAAGATTCAATTTTCTGTTCAACGTCCCTCCAAAATCACACTAGTAGGCAGCGGCGTCAGAAATCTTACTTATGGGGCCCAAATTAGAAGACTTCTCTTAAAGACACTGCCCACCAGGACACGTACGCGCATTCCAGGACAAGCGAATGTGACAATCACAACTCGTCACGCAGGAAATGAAATTTCTGAAGAGGATTCAAGGTTAAAGAGCGACAACGAAGTACAGAAAATTTGGCGGGGATTGTTATGGAGACAATGCAGAATGCAGAGGGAAAAGAGAGGGAGGGAGAACTCGAGAGGAATGGAAAGGAAAGGGGTAAAGGGAAGGAAGGGGGCCCAGGAATGAAGGGGTGTGCGAGCGACGGGGCAGAGAGGGACAGACAGGGCACGGGTCAAGAGGGGCTGACTGAGAGGGGCAGAGGGGCTGGGGTTAGGGATTGAAATGGAACCGCAAAGCCTCTTAGGTTGCGGTGGCGCAGCGCCACAGCCCGAGCCGCGACAAACTCGTGCTGCCCATACACCTGCGCGCCCTCATCATCCCCAGCCCCTCCACGCGGCGGACACGGCGACACCGGCGGCAGTCCGCTGCTCCAGCTCCAGTGCTCCGGCCTCGGCTCCAGCCCGGGAGAGATTTTAATTTAAAGGGAAACGTTTTTTCCCCCTGAAAATTTTCCGTGAAAATTTGGAAAAGGAAACAAAATAAGAGGCGTCCAAAGTTTTCGTTATTTTCCCCGTATTTTTCCCGCAATTTTTTCAGGGTTTTTTCCCGCCTTCAAATCTCTACAGCCCTGCGACTCGAAGTGTCAGATTGATTACAAACTTGTAGAACGAGGGTACGGTGCTCCCCCGCCCCGCCCCCTTCGACGTGACTCTTTTAGAAGGGGAACAAATATTACGGGGTCCCACAAATTTTCAGGACCATTATAGGAATCCATAGAACCCCATTATATTTGTACCCCATCCCCCAACGCCACGAATCCCAAATGGGTGTGCCGCCGACGCTTTCGTCATTTGACTGTACATACATCAGCTAATTATTGGGATGCCTTCCAACTTTTCTAATGTACAAAAGCATGCTATGACAGCTTGCGCAGATCTGCTTGCAACCTCGGACAGGACCATCCCCGGGAGCAGGCCGACCCGACCGGTGGGCGACGCGACGGGCGACCGCCCCCGGGACGGCCCGGGGGGCCCGGGGGGCTTACTCCGGATGATGTGGATATAATAGTCACGCTTCGCTGAGTGGCGCGTAGTGACGTCACGCGGGCTAGGCGACTAGGCGACCCCCCAGCCACAGGTGATGCCTAGACCCGCCCCCGCTCGCCTAGCCCGGCCCGGCCTAGACTCGTCGGTCACGACTCACCAACGAGAACAATTACATTAGTTCGCCCGACCCAGGCCGGCCCGCTACGTTTTAACCCACTGACACACTTCTTTTCGCTCTCTCTCTCGTTTTAATGTTTTATCCCCTTTATTAATGGGAAGCAGTCAAAAACAAACGTTGCGACTCTTTTTTTTCATCCGTTGACATTTTTGGTCGTTTTATCGACAGTTGCACGATAATACAACTAACATATCTACACTACCGACATCCCTTTTTATGTTTAATAGATTTTTTTCAAAAAAAGGTAACGATATTGTTACCTCCGCGTAAGTACACAGCGAAGTAAGAACCGCCTCGTGTCTGGACAACTATAACTATGACATTTTTTGAGAGTTATTAATTCAAGTTTTAAATAAAAAGGCTATCATGTTGTTGAGTAGTGTTCAGTAGTCGTAGGAAACGTCCTGCTCCTTCATACGTTTCCTCGCGTTCTGCCACTCCATCCTAGCGGAAGTGCTCTGCAAGAGAGTAAGTGAGCGAGTGAGAGCAGTGAGAAGAGAGGGAGGGAAGTGAGAAAGAGGGGGGGAAGTGAAAAGAGAGGGAGGGAAGTGAGAAGAGAAGGAGAGAAGAGAGGGAGAGAAGGAAAGGGACATAGCACAAGAGAGAGACACAGATGGGAAGGGGGGGGGAGAGCCCTACCTGGTCAGCACTGGCCCACGGCTGGTCTCGCTGGTCGCGCTGGTCTCGCTGGTCGCGCTGGTCACGAGCGTCGCCATCCTCGCCCGCAGCAGCCAAGTCGCCCCCGTGCCGTCCGCCCTCCACGGCGGCCATCCGGCCGAGCAGCCCGAGCAGCAGCGGGTCGCCTCGCAGCTCGGACGAGAAGGCGGACGAGAAGGGCGAGGGGTGGGCGACGGCGGGCACCGGTGCCGGTGCGGGCTCGTCCCTGTCATCAACAACGACTACGCTATGAGCTCCACAAAGAAAGTATCGCAGACGTTCAGTTGCATGGGCGGTTTTGGTCTCGCAAAAAATAAAGAGTAAGGCAGAAGGGACGATCTGTTGCTTGTCAGATTTTCATCGTGTTAAAACAAACAGACCGACGTTCGTAATCGATAACTAATCTTGTGGTTTCGTGCGAGCGATCGAACACCCCACGGGTCATGTAAAGACGGCATATGACGGGTTCGCCCCCGCGGTCCTCCTCCCCCCCCCCCCATTGGGGCTCACGCGAGTGGGGGCGTTAATGACTAGTCCTCGTTTATCGGACAGTTCCCATGTGGCCTTTGGAAATGACAATGTTTTAAACACGCACTGCATGCTTTTAATACTGTGCACCTCGCACCTACAAATAACAGAGGAAGAGGGTTCGCACATGACATTGAGGCCGTCGGCGGCCGTCCCGCACTCACCTGTCCAGCTGGTACCGCTCCTCCTGGAGGCTGGGCATGGACCGCTTGGCCGCTATCCCCCGGCACTGCGGGTGGAACACCAGTCGCCTGGGTGACAGAAGGAAAGGCGACTCGGAAATGGGCTCCATCTCTTTTGCGAGCGGCCGGCGGCGGCGGCGGCGACGACATTATTTCCCCCGACAGTGTACACGCGCCCGCCCGCTAAGGTTAGGGGTCAGCCCTCCCCACAGGCAGCGCGCCAGCAGCAGGACGGCGACAGCGCCCATTCCTCTGACGGACTTCTTGCGGCTCGTTTCTTGCAGCTGCGGCTGAGCCTGCCCTGTCGCCGACGCCACCCCGCCGCCGCCCCCCCCCCCCTCTCAACCAGGCCGACGACTGGCCTCGCGGCGTCTTGAGAGGTTCATCAATTTGCCCAGGAGTCGGCCAAAGTTCACCCAATACACGCACAAACCAAGCATAACGAGCAGACCCAAGTGTGTGAATGCCGCACACTTACACGAAAAAAAAATGATTCGCTGAGTCAGCTGATATATTGACTGATATGGAAAGACAAGTATATAAACTACTGTAACCACTATATTGTATACTCTAATAAATCATTGGCTATGCCAGTCAAAAATTAGCTGTAAGCAGAGCTTATCCCTTCTCTACCCCAGTGAAGGTCTATCTTACTGATGCAGGCAAATAATTATTTCATACAACTAATCTTTGACTGGCACAGCCAATGATTGATTAGAGTAGGCAATATAGTGGTTACAGAAGTTTATGTGCTTGTCTGTACATATACCAGTCAATATATTAGCTGAAAAAGGGGAGGGATTTCCATTGCGGCAACACTTGGAAGTACAGGTGACATGTTTTTCTGGCTTTTGTCGTTGTACAAGTAACAACGTAACAACCTTTTTTTTTATTCAAACGACAGTGTTTACTCTTCCCCGAAGAAACATTATTGTTGTAACATCAAGTGTTACATTTCAAACAGTGTGGTTGTCCAACAATTAAGACTCGGTGAAAAACTTAACAATAAGTGCTATTAATTAACAACATAATTGTCCAACGGTGTAGCTTCATCTGAATTAGACACATGCGTCTCCTTTGAAGAACAACCGCTCCTGGCGTCCGGGGCCACGGCGTACAATCACAGAGCATTCAAGATGAAGGTCATGTGCGCCGTTGCCGCTGCCGTGTGCGAACTATACCGTTACCCGTGCAGTACAAATTCTTGCCGCACACCAATACAATTAAAACGCAACCAAAATCACATTTTTTTCGCACCCTGCAAATTTTACAACCGCTAATGTAAATGCTTCGTTTGTTGGTTGTAAATGATTTTGTACTTTCTATTTCCCATCGAATTCGTGGTACATTTCAAAAATGTCTACGAGACATTTTATCGTAAAGATGCCGATGATGAGCAAGTAGTAGTCTCCGTTACCAATAACGAATGAGATGAACTCCACGAACCACGAAATATCGCACCGGAAACAGGTGTTGTCCGGTTCGCCCCCCCCCCCATTCGCGGAGGTTTCGCCCCGGCCCGCGCAACACAACGCAACGCAGCGCGCTATGACTGATGCCAGCCGGGGGGAAGCCCCGCACGGCCTTTCCCCTCGGCGTCGAGTCCAAGTTTGGCGTTATGCAAAGGGGTTCCAGCGCCGCCGTCGGCCGCGTGCGCTGATTTTCTGCGAACACTGCACTGCGAAATGCCTTCTGCGAAATATATATATGTTCGTACAGGAAACCGTTTCCTTTGGAACTTAAGTTAATAATTATTGCAAAGAATTCTGATGCATTGCCCCGCGTGTGCGCGCGGTGATTCGTCGCAGCAACAAATTATTAACGGGCTTCTCGGTCTTCAAAAACTAAAAGCACCTTAGACACGGTAAGAAAAAGGGTGTAAATACAGCAAAGCCAGTATAGGGGAGGTGCGGCGACAAGAAGTAAACTTGGAGAAACGTTCTCTCTCTGTGGAGAATTAGTCGTTTTCACCCACGCACTGCGGCCTGCGGCACGCACAGCCGTAAAGCACGAGCCGAGCAGAAGGTATATATCGGAGGGTCGGCCTTTTCTTATGAGAGCAATAAAGGGAGCGACCCCGCGGCTCTCGCCGCCCGCGCAAGGTCCTTTACGTCGCTGCACTTTGTAAGCAGCGGAGGGCAGGGGAGGGGGGCATGGCCTCTAGTGGCGTGAATAATTCTCGTCTGCGCTCGCTCAAAATTAACGGCACCTCTCCGAAAACAAAACAATGTTCCGACGTTGAGGCAGGGGCAGGCGGTGAACAAGTAGAGGGAGAAGAAGAAGAAGGGCCCGCGATGGTGTCACACCATGTACCCTTTGAGAGGAGGGTATACCTTCCGCGGGTACCTTTCTTACACACCCACCTGCAGTCGATGGAGCGCAGCGACTTCCTGGACGGGTTGGACGCCCTGCCGGCCTGGATGCAGCAGTGCGCGAGCAGCAGCACGAGCAGCGCCCCGAACAGGCGACCCATGGCCACTGCAAACACAAATCGCGAATAACGCCTTGATTAGATAATCACTATTAGTGATGTGGGCAGCGGCGGCGGCCGCGCGCCCGGTCTGGACGGACGGTCTGTCGTAACGCGCCGGCTGTTGGCCGCCCCTCCCCGCCTCGCGGCACCTTGCCTCGCCACCTCCGGCCGGAAATGGCCATTCCCGCCCCCGCGGAACACACAATGTCATTGTTGTTTTCGTCACCTCACTTCCGGTCGCACGCGTGCCTCTGTTCGTTCGCGTGGTACAGATATTTTTAACCGAAAAAGAACAACAACAAATAACTAAAAGATTTTGATACGGCCGTAAAACATGAAAGTTGGGGTACTAATGCTTGCGCACATCACTGGTGAAAATTGAAAAGGGCGTAAGACCGACGTGTAAAATTTACCTACGACCTTGGCAGCGATTTATCCGTCACGGACACAACTGCAACAAACTGCACCTGTCGAGGCGCCAACGTACGCCTTTGTTGCCGCCGGGGTCTCACCGCACTGCGGCGAGGCGTGGTGTGGCGGGGTGTGGCGGGGCGGGGC